TCATTGAGAGCATTGTGAACATCATCCCTGGTGGCTTTCAGTTCTGCCCTAATCAATTCTGTTTGGTCATCCATGGCTTTCTCCAACCTAGCTATTGCCTGGATAATTGTTAGCTTGAATTCCCTTTCCGACATATTGTCTATGTTGATAGCCGTTAGCTCTGTTGCAGAAGGCCCATCCTCTGTATTTTTCTTCTGTTGGGCATTCCTCCTCCTAGTCATTTTGGTGAGAGATGGCTGAATTGATGTAGCTGGATGTATCAACCATGGTGCAGTCAAGGTGCACCTTGGAACGCTTCTGCCCACTGGCGTCTTCTGCCCCTGTAGAGATCCAGATGTCTATAATTCTGATCTCAGGCTGATTTCATGGGTGATCGGAGTTCTTTGGTAGGTAATCAGCTCACTTTAGGATACAGGTTGAAACGGCGCCTCCTCCTACTTCCCCACCTTCTTGTCTCCCAATTTAATTTATTTTCAGTGTAACAGAATTCATTGTTTATGCACCACACCCAGTACTCCATGCAATACGTGCCCTCCATAATACCCACCACCAGGCTCCCCCGACCTCCCACCCCACCCCTTCAAAACCTTCAGATTGTTTTTCAGAGTCCATAGTCTCTCATGGTTCATCTCCCCCTCCAATTTCCCTCAACCCTCTTCTCCTCTCCATCTCCCCTTGTCCTCCATGTTATTTGTTATGCTCCACAAATAAGTGAAACCATATGATAATTGACTCTCTCTGCTTGACTTATTTCACTCAGCATAATCTCTTCCAGTCCTGTCCATGTTGCTACAAAAGTTGGGTATTCATCCTTTCTGATGGAGGTGTAATACTCCATTGTGTATATGGACCACATCTTCTTTATCCATTCGTCCATTGAAGGGCATCTTGGTTCTTTCCACAGTTTGGCAACTGTGGCTATGAATTGTGGCTATGAATGCTGCTATGAACATTGGGGTACAGATGGCCCTTCTTTTCACTACATCTGTATCTTTGGGATAAATACCCAGTAGTGCAATTGCAGGGTCATAGGGCAGCTCTATTTTTAATTTCTTAAGGAATCTCCACACCGTTCTCCACATAAAAATTTTTATAGCTCCATTTCATTGTTCTGGACTGCAATATAGTATTTCTTGCGTGAATATATCTACCTGTATTTTTCCATTCTTCTTATTATAGATATCTGGCTAGCATGCTTATCTAGATAATACAGGCAATAGAGATACTTTAACAATAGTATTCTTCCAACCCATAAACTTGGGACATTTTTCATCTGTTTGGGTCTTCTTCATTTTCTTTCATCAAAAGTCTTACGGTTTTCAGGGTATAGCTTTCACCTCTTTGGTTAAATTTATTCCCAAATATTTTATTATTGATGATATTATAAATGAGATTGTTTCCACCCCTCCACATCAATTCAGCTTTTATTGTATCTTTCAAATATCACAAATATTGTGTTATGGTTGTCACTAACATAACACAATCAAACATAATAATAAAAAATAAAATATCACAAATAAGTTTGAGAAATCACCTGGCATCTTGCTGTTTCTGTAGCTGGAAAACTTGGATCTTGTTCATCAGCATGCTGAGCTGTTCTTTTCTCTGAAACATAGATACCACCCAAACATTTTTTGGTCATCCTTCTTTTTTTTTTAGATTATTTATTTATTTGACACACAGAGAATACATGTAGACAGAGGTAGGCAGAGAGAGGAGGAAGCAGGCTCCCTGCTGAGCAAAGAGTCTGATGTGGGGCTCGAGCCCAGGACCCTGGGATTATGACCTGAGCCAAAGGCAAAGGCTTTAATCCACTGAGCCACCCAGTTGCCCCTGGTAATCAGCATTTTTAACTCTTCTGGTTTACTGAATGGAAGCAGCTGAATTTGATTCAAATTCAATCTCATTTTCTTCAAGAGTTAACTGGACTCTCTGGGCTTGAGTTATTGAACAAGCAACACCTGGTGTCCCCCAAACCTTGTGGATGTGTTTTTCACCAAGAAATTTTGGATTTTGATGGGAAAACCAATCTCCTGAATGACAACAGTATTGCTAATGTCCCGCTGAGGTTTATGAGAGAACTAAACTGTTTGTTGCACTTAAAACAAAAGTGCATGTCACCTTGTTATTTGAAGGGTGTGGAGCAGCATACAGAGATTTGTCTGTGGGGCTACTGTGAGAATCAGCAGCACTGTGACCGAGGTCTTGTCCCTACAGTACTTCAGGTCACAAGGGTAAGATGGGCTTCATGTGGAGACACAGGACCCTGACCTGACAACTCCACTCGCCAGGGGCACTTTCTGTTGGTGGCATTTGCAATGCCCACAGTCATTACTTGGGGCCTGCTGGCTTATTCTGGGATCTCATAGAGCCTGGTTATCCTCAAGCTCAGAGCATTTCTCTTCCTGCAGGTGTAGAGGTGTAGAGGGTCATATTGCCATTGCCATGGAAATGGGTCAGCATATCTAGGACCCTCGTGCATGGTGAATCCCGGAGGAAATGGGGGTCTTTCTTCACGGGTCCCACTCTTTTCTCTCTCCAGAAGTAAGATCCATGAGGGAAGGAACTATTAGCTGTGGGGCAAGAATTATTCCAGGGATTGTCATTAGAGGTTTTCCTGTGTTGGAAGCTCTCTGCCACCCAAAAGTCATTTCCACTTAAAAATTTTTTTTAATTTTATATATATTTTATTTATTTACTTGACAGAGAGAGAGATCACAAGTAGTCAGAGAGGCAGGCAGAGAGAGAGGGGAAAGCAGGGTCCCTGCTGAGCAGAGAGCCCCATATGGGTCTCGATCCCAGGACCCTGAGATCATGACCTGAGGCGAAGGCAGAGTCTTAACCCACTGAGCCACTCAGGTGCCCTATTTCCACTTTTTAATACAACACTAAGGTCGAGGGGTTCTGTATCTGTTTTCGAGGTCCAGCCCCTAATAAGTTTCCATCTAGGAATGGAGTGGAGAGAACTCTGACCCTGGGGACCAGCACCCTTGCACACAGCTGTCTGCCCTGAACTCTCAGAGATTAGGGATGGGACAGACAAGGAATGAGCTGGAACTGAGGTTCCTCCCAGCTGCTCAGGATGATGGTCTGGTAGGACAGAGGGCGAGTCCATGAGGAAAAACAGACAGATTCTTAGAGACGGACCTATACGTAGCTCAGGCATTTGTATGGTTTACCGCCATAATGGATTATGGGAAGCTTTTCCTCCCATTATTTATGGGGTTGAAGTTAGTCAGTTGTGCTTAAAAAATGACTGTCTCTTCAAGAACATTATATATGTGATGGATTAATCATATGCAGGGTTCTTGACATGTGCTTTCCTATACACGATGTGGAGGATGAAATTGATCTGTACACTGCTGGTGGTTTCAGTTTGTGATTTTTCAGCCTTAAAACATCCCATTCCACATTTGCCATTAAATACTAATTGTGAACATTTTTCATGTGTCTGATAGCCATTTGTATGTCTTCATTGGAGAAGTGTCTGTTCATATAAGTCAAGCAGAGAAAGTCAATTATCATATGGTTTCACTTATTTGTGGAGCATAACAAATAGCATAGAGGACAAGGGGAGATGGAGAGGAGAAGGGAGTTGAGGGAAATTGGAAGGGGAGGTGAACCATGAGAGACTATGGACTCTGAAAAACAATCTGAGGGTTTTGAAGGGGCGGGGGTGTGGGAGGTTGGGGGATCCAGGTGGTGGGTATTGGAGAGGGCACGGATTGCATGGAGCACTGGGTGTGGTGCAAAAATAATGAATACTGTTACGTTGAAAAAATTAAAAATTAAAAAAATGCTAATTGTGTGGGATTGAACTCTATGGTTTGTGTCTACACTGAGCAACACACTTGTCAATATTCTCCCACAGGTGCCACGCCTACGCACATGGTTTCCACTAGGGTGTGGGATTCTTGGGCAGAGCTGCATCCCTTGCTTTCACCAGATGACTCTGATCTGATCCCCAACTTGTCCTTAGCAATTTATACTCCTACCAGGAATGTACTGGGATTCTAAGTACACAGTATTTTCTCCAACGATGGATGTTGCCATTGTGTTCTCTTGCTTGTCCTGTGGCTGTAGTAGGATTTGTGTGTCAGTTTCCCTGAAACCGTGGCATTACACTGAGCTGGAAAATACCAGGATGTTTACAATACAGGGAGGCACACGTGCACGTTGGGATGACCAGTGAGGTGACCCCACAGCTGGATCACACTCACTCGTGATGACGGTGTATCCATGACTCCCACCTGGGTGCACAGTGCGTTCACATGGCTCCTTGATGTTGCCCATGACGGGAGTGTTTACACCAAAGAAGTGGGCAAATACTATGAATCACAACTTAAAAAAAAAAAAAAACCCAAACATTTAATCCATGGAGTCAGTGTAGAAGCTCCCTACCAGGCTACACTTCAATCGCCCCTAAGCTCACTCAACCTGATGGTGTTTCTGGAAGATTCCAGTAGGTGTCGCCACATGAGGACAGAAGAGCTCTGTGAGTCCAGAGAGGGTTCAGGGAATGGTTTTGGATTCATCTATTCCAACGTGGACCTGATTTTCACCCACTTATTTACTTATGAAAACAGAGTCCGTGTTTTGGGCTGAAGGGATGGAGGACAGTAGCGCCCATCAGGGAAAGTGGAAATGGAAAGTGAAGGATAATGAATCCCACGAAGGTGGACCAGAGCTGCCGCTGTAGGGAGGTATGAAGCAGCCCTGCCTTGTGGGATGAACTCTCAAGTCACAGGGATGAGGAAAGACAGGGGCAGTCAAGGATGTCCAACAATGCAGGAGGGAAAGCACCACAGGTCAGGGGGGACGAGTCCTGGACAGGGAGCAGCCCAGACATGTCCTGCACCTGAACCATGCTCCCCCTTGATGTTGTCAGCAGACAGATCAGCGAGGGTGAACTGCAGACTTTTCTCCAGATCCCTCTGGGCACCTGGGATGCATGCCCACAGCTCTGCCACAGGGAATGGTGGCTTTGCTCCTTCTCGTGTTTAGCTCCTGGCTGCATCTGGGGTCTTTCTTTGGCTGTGCTGAGCCTCTAGCAGCAGAATCCCGAGGACCACCAGGATCAAGGCAGCCACGCCCAGGCGGGTCAGATTCTCCACCGTGTAATCTTTGGGGTCCGAGGCTAGGAATGAGGACAGAGAGGTTGCAGAGGTCAGGGTGGACCCAAACCATCCAGGATCCTGCATGTCCACCTAAGGTACCTGCCTCCCCAAAGAGAACACCCACCTCCACAGCAGTCCCATCACTGGGACTTTCTCCTACTCACCACTGCTGGGGTCTGAGTTGTTTTGGGGTGGGCTCACAGTGCCAGCTGCTTCCACAGGGAAGACAGAAGCAGATGGAAGCAGATGGAAGGAGCTAGATACCCCCGTCCAGCCTGTCCTCTGCTCTGTGTCTTTATCCCTCAGCTTGTCACTATGTAGTTTTTGTACAGTTTCTGAACTAGCCCTTCTCTGCACTAGGGGCTTTCCTCTGCTCTCCTCACTGGATTCCTTCAGCCTCCTTGTTCTCTTTGATTTCAGACTCTGCTTCTGAGTCACTTGGGATAGATTCTGGCTGTGCCCCTCCAGCTCAGGGTTGCAGAGAAAAATGTCCTCCCAGCACAGAAATCATCATGTCCTCACATGTTCTCTGTTCTGTCTGGGACACAAGATCCCCTGGGCTCATGTCCCTGAAGATGACAGTTTCCACTTATTCAGTAGCCAAGGTCCCAGCAGCATCCATGGATGAGGGGCTGGTGCCAGGGGCTCCTGACTGTCAGGAGCACAGAGGGGATGATGTCTGGGGTCAGGTCCCTGTCCCTCAATGTCAACCAGCTTGCTTCTTTCAGGGTCTGCACTTTATTCTTTACCTACAGTATTCCTCTTTGGCTATGTTCATTAATTCATTCTTCATATACTTAGAGATACTCACAGTGCCAGATACACACACACACAGACGCACATGCGCGCGCACACACACACACACACAGAGAGAGAGAGAGAGAGAGAGAGAGAGAGATCTATGTGCACACATCTACAACAGGCATATAAATATGTATCCACGAAAGGTGACGGTCAGGCACTGGGTCATAGGAACACCGTTATTGCTCACAAGCAGTGTGGATCGAGATGGGAAGAAGAGGTACATAAGTAAACAAACAAACAAACAAGCAAAAAAAGAGACTCATTGAAAATGTGCTAAGACCTGGGAGTGCCCAGAGCTTGTTCCCCACAGAGACCATGTGAATCCTTCTAACTCCAATGCACACAGAAGAAGGAGGACGGTTTCTGAGTCTGCCATCCCTGTCACCTAAGTTCCCTTTGTCATCATCTGCAGGTGCTGCTCTAGAAGGTGTGAGAAGCAGACACAGGGACACTGGACCAGCGACCACACACAATGCAGAGTGGACACCAGTGCACACAGACATGGGGTGCAGCCTCCCTGGGGTCTCCCATGAGCCAGACTCGACCCTCCTGGGTCTCAGGTGTGCACCGAGGGGCATGTAGGCTCCCAGGTGAGTATGGAGGGCAGCAAGTGGTGCCCGCAGGTGGGAGACTTCTGTCCAGGAGAGTGTCCCTGACGCCACGGATTGGATTCTGCTATGGAGGGACAGGAGGTGAGTGGGAGGCGCTGTCTACGCACCATCATCCTCACTCACCCCCCACATGATCCCTAATCCTTACTCTGCCGAGACTACACGATGGGGGACCCGGGTGCACACTGTGGATCTTCCCAACCTCTCCAGGGCAGGACCCTCCTCTGTGGAGCCCCCCTGACCTCCACATCTGTTACTGTGTCAGGCTTTCCTGAGACGTGGGTCCTGAGCTGACAGAGCTCAGACAGGACAGTGTCAGGGACCCTTACCTGATACTAGGAGCTCCAGGGGGTCACTGGGCTGTGACAACAGGTAGGGGGAGGTGCTGGTGGAGCCGTAGCACCTGTAGGTCCCTCTGTGGGCTGAGGTCACAGGACTCATGGGGAATTCAGCCTGGTGCTGCCCAGCTCGGTACTGTGTTCTAAGACGCAGCAGGGGATCGGCTGCCCCCTCCTTGGACAGAAGGAAAGTGTCCACAGGGCTCCATGACTGACACAGCAGGGTCACATTCTCTCCTGGGGCCACCGTGGGTCCAGGCTGCACTGAGAGGGAGGGTGTGTAGGGCAGTTGTCCTAAGAGAGAGGAAAGGCGGGTGAGGGGCTGTCCAGCCCTTGTTCTGAACTGAGTCTGTCTGTGTCCTCCGGGTCTGTCCCTTCCCATCCCCCATCTCTCTCTGTCTCTCTCTCTCCTTGGGGACCCCAGAACCCTTGTCCCAGCCACCACCACCTTGGACTCCCCTGGCAGGACCTGTGCAGAGTCTGCAGTCCTGACTGAACCCATTAGCCCTCACCTGCGAGCAGGATATCCAGGGGGTCACTGGGGGCCGACACTCGGAGGAGACGGTGTTTTCACCATAACACATGTACTGGCCCCCGTGGGAGGGTCTCACCAGGCCCAGGTAGAAGTCTGCACCAGAGAGCCCAGCCTGGGGCTGCCGGACAAGCCGCTGGGAAGGTTCATGTGTCCCCTCCTTGGACAGAACGAATCTGTCGTAGCTGACATCAGAGTGACACTAGAGGGTCATGCTCTGTCCAGGTGTCACGACAGGGCCCTGCTGGGTCAGGAGGGAGGGCTTCCCCGACACACCTGGGAGAGACCAGCCGTGGAAGGCAGGGGCTGCTTCTCCCCAAACCTCCCTTCTCCCATCCTGACCCCCGGGTCTCACTGTCCATCACCCTCCGTGACTCTGACCTGTGACTTCCCGTGGTCCTCACACCCACCCTCTCATTGGGGCTCCCCTGGGAGCAGAGTCCCTGTTAACCTGTCGGGTGACTCAAAGCACGAATGGGGCAACAGTCAGACTTTCTCACCTGACACCATCAGCTCCAGGGGGTCACTGGGGTCCGACCACACCTGGGGGGTGTTGCTATAATAGCCATAGCATCTGAACGTCCACCTGAGGCTGGGGGTGACGGGGCCCACAGGGAACAGGGCCTGGGTCCCCCCACGGGAGGCTGCCTGGGAGTTCAGGGTCCAGGAGGGCTGGCGCTCTCCTTCCCTCATCAGGATGAACCTGTGGATTCCCATCCGTGAGGCACAATGGAGGGTTACATTCCCTCCTGAGGTCACAACAGGGCTGGGCAGGGCTGAGAGCCTGGGTTTGTCCTGGGATCCTAGGAGAGGAGGAGTGGACAGTGTAAAAAGAGGCTCAGGTCCCCTACATCATCCCCAGCCTGGGCTGTGGGAGGGAGACACTTAGAGGCAGACCCCCTTCCTGAGGGAAGAATCTGGGGCTGGGACCCTGAGTGGGCTCGCACCTGTCACCACCAGCTCTGGGGGGTCACTGTACTCTGACCAGTCATTGGGTTGTTCATAGTCACAGCGATATCTTCCTGCATATACAACTGTCATGTATGTGATGGAGAAGTTGGCCTTGTCCCCGGGCTCCAGGGTCTTCTGTGTGTCCCAGGTCCATGAGTATCCCTCTTTATGCAGGTGGTACTCCTGGGCCTCCAGGCCCCCCTGACACCAAATGGTGACAGGTGTCCCCCACGACATCACAGAGTCTGGCTCAGCCCAGATGGTGGTTTTGGGGAGGGTCCCTGGAAGGAAACAGAGGCTGGGACAGATCTTCCTCACCCCCAGGTCCCAGCTCAGCACCAAACCCCCAGCGTGCCCCCAGAAGTGCTGGTCTCCGTCCCTCACTGCCTACTGGGTGACCCCTGTGCCCAGTGAGAAGGTGGGGCTGGGGCCTCTGGGGACAGACTCACCTGTCTGTGCTTTGGTCCTGGAGTTTACACTCAGCCCTGGAAGAGAGTCCCTGTGAGAGGTTTGCCCTGAATCCTAGCAGATCCCCTCGTCCCATGAGCCTCCTGAACCTGGGGTCTCTGACAGACCAGGGCTTGACTGTGGGGTGGGTTCCTCCCAGATAGGGCATCCCTTTCCCTCCTCATATCTCACCAAGACAGAGCAGGGCTGTGAGGATGGGGGCCATGGTGTCTCTTCTCTCTCACTCTGGATGTGCAGAGAGTGAGACCACGGCGCCCACAGGTCAGGCAGACACACAGGGTGTGGTTCTCAGAGGCAGTTGTCCTTTCATGGGGTTGTCATGTATGCAGGATATGACAATAGGAAGCTGAACAACCCCTGCCCAGGGGCCTAACCTGGCTCTGGTGTCCATGACGGTGCAGCAGGGGGACCCTGGGCTCCCTGTGATGCCCAATCAGGTGAGGAGACCAGGGCAGGTCCTTCTCTCCCAGAGCCTCCCCCAAGGGTCTTCTTCATCCCCACAATCCTGGTCCTCACCATTGGTGGGACCCCAGACCCAGAGCTGCTGCAGGGGACATGGATTCCTGCGTCACACTTGTGTGACGTCTTTGAATCACTCAGGTCAAGGTCACGTCGACAATGAGCCCAGAGGAGAAATACAGGCAAATAGGGAAGGGAACACAGACCCTCTCTTGGCCCTGGATTGTGGGCTCTCTTTCTGTCACAGCCTCCAAGGACTTCTCTCTTTTCCTGTGACATGGTCCACACCCCATTCATGGGCACATGCCTGAGTGAGTCCCTCCTGGCTCCTCGACGCTCCTTGCTGCAGGGGCAGAGATGTCCTCCCCACCCTGGGGTCTTGCCTGTAAGCCGTAGGGAACAATACTTGGGTGAGTGCTCTGATATGAGAGACAAAGCTGATTCTCATGTCATTACTACTCCAGTCTCCACTGCCCAGGTGACCGTGAGCACAGTGACCTGGTCTGTAGCCTGCTGTCCTGACTCTACTCCTCAGAGTGGTTGTGGGGTCAGTGGGATCTATATAGTGGATGGGATGAATCTTGTTAGATTCCTGACCTGATTAAGAGGGGTGTGGTTAAGACAGAAGAGGTTCATGTGTCAGACCCCACAGTCAGGTTAGATCAGTGATCATTGTGAGACGTCCCAAGGAAGACTGAGAGAGAACAGTGGGAAGTTCAGAAAAACAAGAGACAGAAAGCTGGAATCAGGAGATCTCCAAGGGCTGATGACCCAGTGGAGCCCCAACATGCCCAAGAGACTTTATTTTAGAGTTCAATAACCAGAATATTTATCAGGGAGCTTGAGGTTGGAGGACCCCAAGTCCTAGGTGACCCCCTGCTTCAAAGCAAACTTTTCTCAAGCATATTTACAGAGGATCTCAAGCACTGTGTCAGCATGACCCAGAGTGCTTATGTGAGCCCAATCAAGTAATGAGTAAACTGTAGGGATTGGGGGAGCTAGCCCTTGGCAAGACTCCTGAGACTACAAGGACCCTGTCAGCTTGCAGTTAGGTCTCCACATCCTTGAGAGACTCCATGTGTTCTTAACACTGAAAAATGCTATTTATAATGTTATGATTATTGGAAACAGCCATTTGCAGGAAATGAGAAACAAAATTTTCTGAAATTGAAACGGACCACAATAGAAACAGAAGTGAAAGCTGAGTGACCGCCAGTGCTGGGGTCAAGTTGGGGGTCGTCAAATTCGATTTCTGCCTCTGTGTGACCAGAACAGGAGGCCACATTATCACAGCATAAAGGACATCCAGTTTCTGGCTGACTGTGGAAGCAGTGTGACCCTTCTACCATGTGTGGGGTGGGCCCTGGCATGTCTATGCTACTGACGCAGCCCAGACATCAGCACTGAGCCATGTCCCCTCTATGTGTGTGTGTATGTGTGGAAGAGTTCCGTCCAGTGGAGTCCTACACAGGCAGCAGTCCACGTGTGAGGGTGTGGTTCCCATGGGAGTCATCCCTGCCAGACACATCCCTGCTCAGATGCTAAGTTGGGACAGTAGATCCCAGAGGCCAGTGGGGCTGTAACCACCCAGCCCTTACAGTCCTGAGCTTCAGGACAGCCCTGGAAGCAATTGTCTCTGGAACTCAGGGGTGTAGGAGGTGAGTGCCAAATAGGAATGGACATCAGAGAGGGACCCCAATGTGATAAGGAGTGCTCAGGAAGACTGTGTTCAGACTCGTCAGTCATAGTCCAGGACATGAAATGGCAGGAATATAACATTTATATTTTATAATAATTTTAATTTTTTATAATAATTTATATTTTATAATAATGTTATATTTATATTTTATAAGAAAATTTAACATTTTATGTTAAAAATGTGAACTACTAAAAAATTGGAGCACATTGTTTGCAGCAATAATGAAGTTATATTATGAAAGAACATAGAAATCTGGAAATGAATTAATTAAATTCTCTGGAGGTAAAAAAATAAAAGCAAAAACTTAATGTGAATAATCATTCCATCTGTGAGAAGATGCAGCTGAAAGGCAGAACGTGAAATTGGAAGACAACACTGAGGATGCTTTGTCCGATGACAGACAGGCTGAAATGAGAACATGCAGATACCCAGGGAACAGGGGGCTGGTGGATATTGTGAGTCTGGAAAGAGAGCAGTGAGGAAGGTGTGAGGCAACAGTCCCAGGGGTCAGTGGTCAGGTATTGTAAAGAGACACAGACAGAGCAGGAGGCTGCTGGTATGTATGGATGTGTCCCTGAAATCTGTGTCTCCATATCTTCTGATAAAGCAAAGGAAGTTGACAGGAGCTGAGGTTTTTTTTTTTTAATCATTTTTTAAATTTATTTTCAGCATAACAGTATTCATTGTTTTTGTACCACACCCAGTGCTCCATGCAATCCGTGCCCTCCCTAATACCCACCACCTGGTTCCCCCAACCTCCCACCCCCCACCTCTTCAAATCCTTCAGATTGTTTTTCAGAGTTCATAGTCTCTCATTGTTCACCTCCCCTTCCAATTTCCCCCAAATGCCTTCTCCTAACTCCCCATGTCCTCCATGCTATTTGTTATGCTCCACAAATAAGTGAAACCCCAGGATAACTGACTCTCTCTGCTTGACTTATTTCACTCAGCAGAATCTCTTCCAGTCCCGTCCATGTTGCTACAAAAGTTGTTGAGTATTCATCCTTTCTGATGGAGGCATAAGACTCCATAGTGTATATGGACCACATCTTCCTTATCCATTTGTCCGTTGAAGGGCATCTTGGTTCTTTCCACAGTTTGGCAAGCGTGGCCATTGCTGCTATAAACATTGGGGTACAGATGGCCCTTATTTTCACTCCATCTGTATCTTTGGGGTAAATACCCAGCAGTGCAATTGCAGGGTCATAGGGAAGTTCTATTTTTAATTTCTTGAGGAATCTCCACACTGTTCTCCAAAGAGGCTGCACCAACTTGCATTCTGCCAACAGTGTAAGAGGATTCCCCTTTCTCCACATCCCCTCCAACACATGCTGTTTCCTGTCTTGCTAATTTTGGCCATTCTACTGGTGTAAGGTGATATCTCAATGTGGTTTTAATTTGAATCTCCCTGATGGCTAGTGATGATGAACATTTTTTCATGTGTCTGATAGCCATTTGTATGTCTTCATTGGAGAAGTGTCTGTTCATATCTTCTGCCCATTTTTTTATATAATCATATATATATAATCATGTCAAAAAATGGGCAGAAGACAGGAGCTGAGTTTTAAGGAGAAGAAAAAAGCAGAGAGATCGGGATATGCACTTATATGGAATCATGAATGAGGGATGCTTTACTCACCCAAGGGAGCTTGAAAGGACAGAGGTAAAAGGGTTGGCAGGGCCCACATCCTCAAGCACAAGGAGAAAGGGACTTCATGAAGCCTTGGGCTTCATCTCTGTGAGGGAGGAGGAGAGCCCCCCAGCAGCTGTGTTTCCAGCTCCTCATCATTGGGGCCCTCCTGTACTTGGAATAAGGCAAAGTTTTCTTTCTGGGAAATCAAAGAAATTTTTGTTTATTATTTTTTATTGTTTTTTAACATCTGAATTAAATTTTATTTTATTAGTGTTCCAAGATTCATTGTTTATGCAACACACCCATTGTTGCATGCAATACCTGCCTTCCTTAATACCCACCACCAGGTTCCCCCAAAGCCCCCTTTGTTACAAAACCCTCAGCTTTGTACAGTCAAGAGTCTACAGTCTCTCTTGGTTCGTCTCCCCCTCCGATTTCCTTCAATTCACTTTTCCTTTTCCTATTCCTAATGTCCCCCATGTTATTCCACAAGTAAGTGAAACTCTGCCGGTCTTTTCTAGAAAGCATGTGGATGGCTCTCACTTTTTTATTCAATCTGATACCCTGTGTCTTTTGATTGGAGCATTAAGCCCATGTATTTTCAGAGTCATTATTAAAAGAAGAGTCCATATATACAATGGAATATCAGTCAGCCATCAGAAAGGATGAATACCCAACTTTTGTATCAACATGGATAGGACTGAAGGAGATTATGCTGAGTGAAATGAGTCAAACAGAAAAGGTCAATTATCATATGTTTCACTCTTATGTGGAAATAAGGGATAACATGGAGGACATCGAGAGAAGGAAGGGGAAAATGACGGGGGTAAATTGGAGGGGGAGATGAACCACGAGAGACTGCGGACCCTCAGAAACAAACTGAGGGTTTTGCGGGGGGGGGGGGGGGGGGGGGGGGCCGGGGGGGGCGCGGAGGGGGGGGGGGGCGGGGCGCTCAGAGGGGGGCTGGGGGGGGGGGGGGGGGGGGGGATGGGCGAGCCCGTGTTGGGTATTCAGGAGGGCACGGGTTGCAGGGAGCACTGGGTGTTGTACACAAACAATGAATCATGGAACGCTGCATCAGAAACTAATGACGTACTGTGCGGTGACTAAATAACAAAAAAATCTGCATAAGGTTATCAGATTTAGGGGCACCTGGGTGGCTCAGTGGTTTAAGCCTCTGCCTTCGGCTCAGGTCATGATCTCAGGGTCCTGGGATTGAGCCCCACATCGGGCTCTCTGCTCAGCAGGGAGCCTGCTTCCCTCTCTCTGCCTGCCTCTCTGCCTACTTGTGATCTCTCTGTCAAATTAAAAAAAAAAAGGTTATCAGATTTACAAGTCTATGCATAAGATGTAGTGAGTGCACAAAATCAATTTTTACGCTAAATGCTTGCTCAAATGTATACAATTATGAAGT